TCTACTTCATAAACATACTTAAGGTGAAGGGGGCTAGCGTAAACACCAGGTATTGACTGAACTAAGTCAAACGGCTGACAAATTAAGGACATGAAATTTGGAGATCATGAAATGGATAACCCTTTAGATACATACAGACAAACATATATACAAATATATTTAAACAACTGCACGCGTTTGTTTGTAATGGCATTAAGATGCTAATATGTACAGACATACTTGCATACGAGTACTCGATGTGAGTTTATTCAACTGTAACGAGTTAGCGTGTTAGTGTAACGCAAATTCAAAATTTCGCCGACAACTAACAGTTCCTATTGGTTTCGCTTCGTAAAAGTACGTTTGTGTGAAAGTTTCTATTTTTTGTGATTTACTGTATATTTGCATTGCATGTCGTATGTTTAACTGCAGATATGTACATAAGTTCATAAATAACATCACTTCACAAACGGGTCAGAGCTGACATGAATATTTAAATTTAATTTGTATTCAATTTGGCTTGCTCTCGTTTCTTCGGGTCTTTATTATTAACCACTGCAATTAAAAAACTCATTTCTTTCCGTACATTAGTTGAAAACATTTTTGCTAAGTATGTCGACGAGCTAGAAGTGAAATTATATACATAGTAAATTTCAAACCAATGAATGCTTCAGTGTTTCACACAGTACATTCTATAAGACCTTATAATCTACGTATGCTTAGAAGACTGATCCCAAGATAGTTGGCAGAATTGGGCAGAGCATCAGACATCAAAACTTCCATCACTCTTAAGTTAGGCTTCGCTTATTTCTTCGTTTTCACCTTTCACCTCTCATTCGAGTTTTCGCAGTATTTTTTTACAAAATCGATCAGCGTACAAATAATACTAGGTAGTCTTTTGGAAATACCTTTGCGGAGCATCAAGTATTATCTTTAGGTATTATCGAATAAATACTAACAGGGCAACTCTGGCTAAGATAGTAAAATGTCTTTCGTAATACAAATAAAAGACAGAAAAGCAAGATAATTCGAAAGATTTCGGTATTCTAGCACAAAAGCCTTAGAAAAAAGCTCTTTCATTCACCACTCGTTAGGAAAAGCTAGTTTGAGAGAAAGCAGTTGTATATCAACCAGGGATGTTGCGAATATTTGCATTCACATTCGTTATGCGAAGGATTCGCATGATTTTACACATTCGCATACGACTTTCGCATTCGTGTACATGGGCAGAGAGTCCACTCTAATATTGTTGAAATGGCTCTAAGTCTGTCTAACCAGGTTGCGGACAATAACGGGCTTTTAGCTTCAGGCGCTAAACGGTTAAG